TATATAAATTTATATATGTATGTATATTTTACAGTTTCTGAAGTCAAGAGATACTCATGGTCAGCCTGGGCTAAAAAAATAATCTCTTGGATGAAAAAAAAAAAAAAAAAAAAGAGGACAAACTACAGGATTGACTTATGTCAGTATGAAACATTTATTCATGGTGGTTTCTACTGCACATCCCTAACATGGATTTTGGAAAGCGGGACATGGAAGCAAATGCTTTTAAGGAGGAAGACCACATGTCACAGCAGACGGCGATTGATGTGGCACGCATGGTACCATCTTCCAGTGTAACCATTGAGAAGGTCATGCCTTCTTTATCCCTGGGCTGGGCTGACAGTATGAGTGAGTCCTCCAGCAAGCAGTGTCCACTTTTGTTCAGTTCAGAAGCCAGTGGTATGATGGGCAACAGTAATGTCTCAACAGAGAGCTTGGACCACAACCAAGCTTTTCAACATGCAAGGCAATTATATTATTTGGCCAGCTCTGATTTTTTTACTCAAAAGTTGGCTTCCTCCAGTGTAATCCAGGCTGGAATTCATGATGCAAGTGACACCTTGGAAATATTCACTCCTCCTTTGCTCCCTGCCTCGGAACCTGGGATGAACCATTGTGCTCCCACCTACAAAAACACGGAGCAGGTTTGTTTGCTTTAAATAATCACTGAATTTGTAACTGCATATTGTATATTTCTGATAGTTGCACAGCCTTTTCAGGAAGAAAGACACAAAATGTCTGTCTATAGGTAGGAAGTTTTACTGGCAAGCACTGGGAAGGGCATCATAACCCTCTGTCTGATGCTGTTGCATCCATGCAACAAAGTGCTTTTCCCAGGAGACAATCAGTTTTTATCTTGTTCCTCTTTTTCAATAGTTATTGCTACCTCCTTCCCTCTGGCGAAAAAGATTGCATGTTCTAGCACCTTCTTGGTGCAAAGCATGGATGGACACCTCTCTCCCTTCTGTGATTTAGCTTCTGTGGGAAGGAAATCCCAGCACACAGACCAGAAGAAAATGCTGGCTGATGTGAGAATAGCAAGGCCAGGCACCTACTGCCTGCATAGTGTCAGCATACCCTTTGGGTTGTAAAACGGCAGAAGAGTTTTAAAATAAAAATATCAACATTCTTTATTAAAAGTAATACACACTTTAAGAAACACCTACCCTCAAAGTCCAGATACGGTGATTCTTTCTGATTAAAAACCATCCAAAACCAGGGTTTAATACTATATCTTCATGATATTTTCAGTCTGCAGGGCAGCAGGACCAGGTGATGAGGCAGCAGATGGAGCAGCTGCAAAGGCTGGTAGCTGAGCAGCAGAAAATCATTGCACTGTACAACCCAGGTACTCGGGGAATCCCTCCTGGCGCTGCAGCACCCTCACCTGCTGATGCTTGCACTCCAGCAGTGAAATGAGGCAGTTCCTTAACAAAAGAGAAGGTTTGATGGTTGTTTTCAGTGGCTGGGCACTTTTCCTCCAGCAGTTGGGCGAAAACATTCATTTCTTTACAAACATTACACACAAGCTGCAAACCCCAGAACATAATTCATTCCACTTTTGTAAGTTAAAATTGCAGGAGAACCATGAGGAGTCCTTTATGTTTAATAACAGATCTCCTGTACAGACTGCTATTGAAGTATAGATTTGAAGGGTACAGCAGAAAATTATAGTATAGTGGTGAGCTTTATTTTTAAAAAGCCATGATTTTTAAACTTCCCTCTACTCCCAGTGCAACAAAAATGGAAGAAAATAAAAAGCCCCAGTCTTTTCAACCTGTGTATATGCATACATAATTACATCTGTATAAATATACCTAATGGTCTCTGCTGGCTTCCAGTGGCAGTATCTTTTAAGAATATCTGAGCTCTGGGGCTTTGCTTCATTCCCTCTCAGGCACATGGGGTTAGAGAACCTTCTGTAGGAATGACCAAAAGTTGGGCTGGACAAACAGCAGACAGCTGGATCCATCACACCGCTGGGATGCGGCAGACACTGACATCCAATGTGTTAACGGCAATGTGAAAAGCTGCAGGGCTGTCAGAGCTGCCCTGAAATGGATCCACCAGGCAGAAAGCAAGGGCCAAACACCACCCCCACAGCGCCCATCAAAGCCTGGCTTGCTGCAGCTTAGGTTGTCCGCTTGTGTTGCGGGCACCTTTCTGAGCTTCCTGACAATGCCAGCAGTGCAAAGCAATACAAGACCGAAGGGAACAAGAAACTTGAGAAAGACCACGGTGTCACATCTGTACGAGGGTCTCATTTTCAAACTTGATGCTGTGTGGCAATCATTTTTTTTGGTTGGGTGCTAAGCAGGATGGCAACCGTTGACCCCGCAGCCAGAAGCCAAGCCACACCAGCAGTGACACCAGCAGGCCTGGATGTCATTGTGCCGATTTTCCTGATGGAGCCACGCTGCTGCGAAACTGCTGTCAAGAGCCACTACTGTATACTAGGGAGACAGCTCAACAAAGAGAAAGAATGAAGGCTATGGCTGAGTAAAGGAAATGTGAGCAGAGCAGTTAGGCTGCACCACTTTCTCCAGGTTCCCGGGAAGGACTGAACAGTGCAGTGTGAGAAGGAAAATGCCTGGGGTCCTGCTGTGCCTCATCATGCAAACTTCTCTTCCCCCTGCCCCTGTGCTATAAGTCACTTGATGCATTTCTGAAAAAAAGCAAGTATGGTTAGTATCGTGAACTCAAGACCAAGGTCATACAGTCAGAAATACATTTATAGGAAGGTGTTTGGGTGTATTTACATATCCAGACACACTTAGCTAACACATAAAGCCACAAACTGGTTACTTGGATGAAAAGCTGACTAAAATCTGCACTGAAACTTCTCATCTGTTAGTGGAGGAGGTGTAGATCGAGGGTAGCAAAAGGCATTGCATAATCTGGCCCCATGAAGTCCTAAAGAGGTAAAATATGAAGAACTACTATGTCTGTGATTTATCTTATTATGACAAAGGTAGTTGCTTTAATATTGACATGCATTTAAAGAAATAACACAGTGACCAACAGGAAAATCAAAATGTCACAGAACTACAGGTTGTCATTCTAATGTCTCATGGTAACACAGACAGATGCCCACCTCTTAGCTGAGTGGTTAGGGCATCTGTCCAGAAGCAGTGAGTCAGGCATTTTTTTTGAGAATATGCCAGACAGGATTTGAACCCACAGATAAACCTTCTTCCAAGAAATGCTTTAACTAGAGGGTGAAGAAATTTCAGTCCCAGGCACTCTCTATTATTCTTGTTGAAGTCAGGTCACAGGACAGGAGGGAACCATGGTGTGGAGAAAAAAAAAAAATAAGAAGTGAGCCTGATTTTGTAACCTCATACAGGGGTTTCTTTCCTGGAAGTGGTGAGTCTGGTCTCTGCTCCCTGTGCAGAACTGCTTATGTCTTTTCCACTTGGAAGTCTTATAATAAATTGTGTAACCAGCCATCCAGAGATAAAAGGAAAACCTTCCCTTTTTTTTTTGCATTAAGGAGTGCCTCAGAAATACTTTGCAATACCTAACTTCTACCTTCTAAGGGACTCAAGGAGTCCCAGGGGAAACGTGTGTTTTACATGCTCAGGAGTACATCCCTGGAGTATACGATAATTTTGGTTATGACTGATGGTTGCAGCAAGCATGTTTTACAATTTAAATAAAATAACAAAAGCAGAGTTTATTTCACTCTGAACATGCAAACCGCCACAGAACATGAAGGCAACATTGGTTTTGTGCAATACCAGTTTACCAAGAGATTTCTAGTTCGGTGCAAGATATTTGTCTTAACCTTCTCTAATTATTCTTCTCTGGTAATTATTTTTAGGCTTTTCTGTTTCTCCTGCGATACCTTCCCACCCAGTAGCCACGATACCACCCCTTCCATGCTTTCCAGCTACTTTCATTCCTGTCCAGTTCCCATCAGAAAACTCTTGCCAAGTTGAGAGCCTGGAGCGCTCACAGACCTCTCCCTTGGCAGTGCGCTCTGCTGGGCAGAGCAGATCTCCGCTGTTCGTGCCACATGAGAGCAGTTCAGAAATCTCAGGAGAGCACGTGCAGCTTTCAGATTCAGGTGGGTAAAAAGTGCTGGAAAGCTGAAGTTAAGGCTATTGTGCAAGTCTGTGAATTTTTGCCCTTGCTAGTGATGGTTACTGATTTTATTGCAGTTCAGGGAAAGGTGCTTTGGTTTTATGGTGGCTTGTTATAAAAGCTTTTACAGTCTTTTAAACTAATTTTTTTTAACTTTTTGAATCACAGTCATCCTGCCTCTCGTACTGAGCAACTGAGCCTTGCAGATATGAATGGAGCAAAAAGTCATTAAACTGGAAAAGCTGAGTTACATGAAGTAGGGACCATGTTATAGTTAGGGGGAGAAGCATAAAAAGTAGGCAGCAGATATAGCTCCCAAAGGAGAGAGAACGTGTTTCTTTAGCTAGGAAGGCCTGCTCTTCATCACCGATCTTGGTGTTTCTCACATTGATGTGGAGTTGCATCATTTGGAGGCAAAACAACTTGGCGTCTTCTCTTTGCTATGCTTTGCCAGCATTGTCCTCTGTGGGAAGATACCAACGGGTGAGAAAGAAGAAAGAGCAATTTGCAAGAAATCCAAAGTTTATTTCAAAGTGTGGGGAAGAGGAACAAAAAGAAGTGGGGATGAAACCACTTAAAGCGCTTAAAGGATGTAAATCAGACCTGCATCCTGGATTCCTTTGAACTCTTACAGCAAGACCTGGCTGTGATGCTGTGAGACAGTCCTGTAGTACAGCTGAAACTTTAATTTCATATTCTTCAAGCTAGCTCCGGGACAGTACTCTCACTGAATGAATCTTATCCCCTTCTTGTGCCTGGCACTATTATTTTCTTGCTGGGTTAAACTGAACCTGGGTCAGCTGCCCAGAGGAGTTTATCAGAGAGCTTCCAAAATACTTCTGCCAGCACTAATGGGGGGTGTGTGCGGATGAGGACAGCAGGAACCTGAAAGGAAGAACACACTAGGACAGGGGGAGGTATGACTGCTCTTTTTGACAGCAGCGCTGACTTAGACCTGCTTTGTGTGTGTTAAACTAAATCTTGAAGGTGCAGAGACCTTCCTACATCAGGTTAACTCCTGACTGGAAGCTGGCCATTCTTATTCTTATTCTTATTCTTATTCTTATTCTTATTCTTGTTCTTATTTAATTCCCATTCTTATTTAAAGGCATAAGCACCGAGCCATTGCTTCAGTGTCCTGAGAGCCCCACAAAAAAACTTTCCAGACAAGATGCTCAAGAAGAGAACAGAAAAGAAAACGAAGGTGAATTACACAGCTGCTTGGACACATCGCTCTTGCCTTGCACTGGGAAGCAGTAGGTGAAAATTACAGTGCTGGGGCGCCTCTCCTGTTAGAGCATTCTAGAGACAGCATAGGGACACATGGGTTCTGCATCCCTTGTGGCTGCCAACCTGCTGTGTCACCTCAGAGGTATTCTAGTGCAAGGCAGGTGAGAAGGGCGCAGAATCAGCACTGCTTGTCTGCTCTCAGGTTGGAGGTTTTTGGAGGGAAGGATCTAAAGCTCTCCTATTCCTGTTGTTGGACCAGAAAGTCCTTTCAGTATGTTGCAAAGGACTTCAGTAGGTCTGGGTGCATTAACATGACAAAGTGAGCTATGTAGTCCCTGGCTACAGTATCAGTGCGTGGTATGAATGAGCCAAAGGCTTTTTGCTCCAGTTGACAAGCCTAACTTGAGCCAAGAGAGCCAATCTCCATTAGCTGCCACTTAGAAAAAAGATTAATTGAAGTGAGAGCCTTGTTGTTGTAGTGAGCATAACCAGTAAGTTTCAATAGGAAGATGTACAAATTTGCACTTCTGTGAAATTGAATAGAGAATGCCTAGTTAGAAAGTCTCGTGTATAAATACTGCTTGTTAAAGTGTTTAATGAACTGGCTTGCAGGTCACATAATTACAGACACGTGAGTAGTTCAGTGCTGTCTAGCACAGTGTCTCCAATGCAATGTTCTGCAGGGAACACATCAACCAAGCATTACGAATCTCGAGAGGCAAGGAGGACAAATCACACCATTTGCCCTTTCCTGATTTCCAGCAACCAGCCTTGAGGATCAGGAGCCTCTTTTTGTCATGTACTTTTGTACATTTGTACTTAAGTCAATTGTATTCTATGAAGTGTTTTCAAAAATCAAAACCCTGCATATGTTGTTGAAAATATAAACATTTCTAATTTATTTTACAATGTTTTTATTTTTCATTTATTCATTCTATAAAGGCTTTGTTTTCATTGACCTTTTTCCTGCTGCTTAGATAATTGTCAATTAAAAGAACGGAGTGTCCCTGAAACTTTTTTTGCTGTTAAAGAAGAACAAAGAGAACAAGTAGAGGAGGAGATTCCTCCATCTCCCTTTGGCATAGAAGGGAAGACGAAGACTGGAAACACAGAGTACAGGTGAGAAATTATCTTAGTCAGTCGGTCAAGCATGTTTTCTTTCCACATATACTGTACATGATATATTTGCAACACAAAGGCTCTTTCCTCTGCCTGAGAGTTGCAGGTTTGCATGGGCAGAGATTGGACAGGTCTAGAGGCTGGCAGTTGATTTACTTCTATATAATAGGATGCTGGTTTAGACAATTTAAACGAACTGGTTTTGCAACTATGATCTTCAAAGGATACAAGTAAGGCAAAGGTTGGCAGGGAGAGATAACATCTTTTGTTATGCCATCATTTCTTCTGCAGTGGCCACCAGTTTGTGACAGCAGCATCAGTCTGAGTAGCTCGTTCATTCTTGTCCTTGCTCTGCCTCTTCAGCTGTGCCAAGACTAATTGTTATGTGCTTATATAATGAACTGGGCAGCAAAGTAATCCTTGCTAAAATTATCTGGAGAGAGGAGAAATGTAACTTTTAACTTGCATTGGTTCTCTGACCTGGTTCATCACTGCACTGAAAAAGGAGTTGTACCAGCACACCTAGCTCGCGGCGCTAGTGGTTGGCACAAGTGGCTCTTAGCATGAGCTGGATGAAACTAAAGCACAGAATGTACTCCAGCTCTCCGTGACATTTCCACTATGGGACCAGGCTATAGTTGGTTTGAGCTTCCCTGAAATGCATATTGTCTAATGGTCCTCAGCGACAATAGTTTTGCTCTACAAATCTAATCCTATTAGGCCATGCTGCGTGCTAACGGACAGAGCCAGACCGACAAACAATAAGGATTATCCATGGCACAGTGGTGTTAGGTGGAGGTGGGGTATAGAAAGAGCAGTAATGTGCTGTGTAACTAGTACCTCCATTAGACCCAGGATTTTTTAATATTCAATAGAAATTATCAGTAAGTGACTAAAGGCTTTAAGCACAGTTCCAATGAAATAAGATAGGTTAATGTATGCTGTATTATGCTTCATTTTGAGTCAGTGTTCAGTTTGTCTCTCTACAACATAATAGACATTATTTTCCTCCTCTCTCACTCTTCACCAGCTAATTCAAACCATTTTGTCAGAAAGATAGTGAGCTTTTTGTGGCTGGAACTAGCTCTAGTCTGGAGAAAATGCCTGAAATATTTTTTCCTTTTGTCTATTTTCTATTTTTAAGGAGAGAATGATGCCAGCCAAAAAAATCTTACTTGCTAAAAACATAATTAATGGTTAGTCTAGACAGGATGTTTTAAAGTGAGATTTATGTGTCACCTGGCCTAGTGGGAGGTGTCCCTGCCCATGGCAGGGTGTGGAACTGGATGATCTTTAAGGTCCTTTCCAACCCAAACCATTCTGTGATTCTATGATTGATTCTATGATTCTATGATTTTATGATTCTATGATAATAGTGGGCTTTTTGCTAACGTGTTTCACACTAAAAAAAAAAAAATGGACAGAACATTTCAGTTCTAAACTCAACATCAGGTCCATGAGAATTATCAAAAGAAAACTAGTTGGAGAACCTTACAAATAAGTACCTTCCTGTTCCTTGCCTAGGCCAATGACACCAGGATTTGGTATTAGACAGAAGCTTTCTGAAGCATTTGTTGAAGAACAACTTAAAACAGCAAAACAGCAGAAGGAGCAGCAGGTACTGTGCCATTGGTGCCCTCACTTTGGTTTTGACAAGTCCTTATGGACTTGGGTATTGTGTGGGCTCTGTTTTGGCTCATTGCATGGCAGCACATTTTTCCACTCTTGTTTCAGGAGATATTGGAAGTTTTTTCCCAAAAGTGAAAATAAAGCCCTGTATTTCTCAGTCACAGTCATATTCCCCAGCGTTTCTCACTGGATTCTTCTCTTTCCACATACTTTCTGCATCATAGTTTGTGGCCAAGTCTCAACATACTTAGCTAAATTAGATCTCAAGGTTGATTCTGTTCATTTATTTCATAATAAACAGTCCATGCCGTCTGTCATATGCCACTAGTGTGAGAATGGGGACATTTCCAAATACAGGTTTTGTACAAGGGCCAAGTACAATAATACCATTCTGCTTTTTGCCTTATGTGCTGTTTGAGATGAGTTTATGTCTGACACCTCTAGGTGTCAGACTCAGCATTTTGTTAGGTTTGTTGGCTTGGAAGATGCACATTTCATCACTCAGGAATTTTCTCTATGTCTCCATGGCAAAATGACATCTCAAACCGATGCATTTATGTATTTCTGTGTCACACTGTAGAAAATGCTCAAATTTCCTTTAAAAACAAGGACAGAACTTGTCTCACCTTCTATCATGTCAACACTTGAGAACATCTCAACCATCTGATTCTAATACTGAATTATTGGAGGCGTCACATAGCGATGGCTACTAAAAGTTCTTGTATCTTCCCTGTAGTCTTGGGGCTGTTACTTAACACACTCAGTTATCTGCAGCCAGTGTCTTCAAGGCTTCTGGTGTCTCAGCTTTTTAAATTATAATAAATATCTTCCTGTCTGGAGAATGATTCTCAGACTGTAATTGTCAGGAGTTTTGGTGTTGTTTTGGTTTTTTTGGCTTTTTTTTTTTTTCAGAGTAAAGCAAAAATAACACCACGGAAGACTTTTCTGAAACGAAAAGAAGGTATGGCAAGGCTCAAAAAAAATAAACAGAAGCCTTTAAAAGAAGACAGCAAGCATTCCAGAAGAGCTGGTTTGGACTGCTGGGGTCATTTATCCCAGCCTGGCCAAGTGGATGCAGGCATAGTGCACCCAGGGGACTCCTCTCAGTTACATCTGCGGGTCAGTAGCTCCATGGTGATGGGTACACATGAAAAAAAATCAGACTGTGCTCTAGCTGAGTGGGAGATAAAGGCTCAGACAAACTGTGAAGTAACAGGAGTTGAGCAAAGTGCAGAAGAAAAAGAAGTGGTTGGGAGAGATGAAGACACAAAGGAAAATCCTGTTGACTCACCACAGAGAAGGTGGCCTGAAATCCTGCAACCATGTCCTGAAACAGGAACAGAAATGAACCTACAAGCAGGCGAGGAAAGGGAAACTCACCATATGGATTCTCTAGGACAAGCAAGCAGAACTGATGGAAGACCTGTGGAGGGTACCCTGCAAAAGGACCTAGGGAGGATGGATCGGTCTCTGAAGGGTCATCTCACAGGGGGAGAAAATCCCCCCTTGGAAGTCCTGCAAAAGCATTCTCCACTCCAGGATTTAGAAATAGGTTGTACCAAGGAGGCAGAGTGGAGTGCAGGCCCTGCATTCAGACGGGGTCAGAAGTGGGTTCAGGTGTGCCCTCAGGAACTTGTTCCAGGGAGCCCGAGCTCAGAAAGCAAAAGGCAAATCCATACTGGGTTTAAGATGGTCAATGACAAGATAGTAAAAATTACACGTAGCTCATCTGAGGCTGTGGAGGAGGGAAGCTCATCCTCAGCCTTGCAACAGGAGTGGCAAAGGAAGGGGACAGCTGCTTCGACATGCCATGTTGTTTCTTTGTCCTGCGAGTCAAGCTGCTTATCCTCCAACAGTGACGATGACCCCACATCTCAGTATCCCTCCCAGCACAGCTCTCAGGGAGTGGATCATATCGATGGACATTTGGATCTCTCAGATGGTGATTATGCTAGTGATGAGCCCAGTGGGACTGAAAAAATGTCTGTTAACAAGTACAGCAGATCACCCCCACGGAAACAAGATATTCAGGCAATCTCAAGGCAACATGGTTTCTCCTGCAGCACAAGCGGCAGTGACTCCAGTACTGGGGCTGTCAGGCTGAAAGGGAGCAAGGCTTGCTCTTTCACTCAGCA